GCTCTTCGGGCTTTGTCGCGGTTTGGCGATTTTCGAGAGACCTTTGTTTAGAAGATACAGGACAAAGAAAGTTTTCGTAAATAACAGTTTTACTAATGTGGAGCTTCTTTAATCTGTGAAAATTGTTTGAAATGGCCACCCTGAGGTAGAATCAGTCTTCATTGTCCTGCTCAGAGACTGCCGAAAGCATTTCACATTTTCCACTGGCTTATGTAAACTAATAAATTTGGATTGTTCTATAGGAAACAGTGTGAAGGGTTGATTGATTGTCAACGATTTTGACGCTCAAAGTGAATATAACCCTATAGGGAATGGCCATTATGTATTTTAAAGACTTCGGACCGGCGTCTTGCTGGAAGAGCTGGAGGAACCTATTTTCTGACAGTTCTCTAGATTAAAATACGCCTCACATCCTCAGATCTAAATTTCAGTAATGACAAAAATATTTTTAAAAATTTTGCTGGTCTTGCACTTATAAAATATGCGACAAAATCGTGAAAATACTCCAAAAAATCACCCTTTGATTTCTTGCCTGATATCTTGAGTCATTTTTAGGACATTAGGTAAGATACATTTGACTACAACAGGAAATGGCAATCCACTGGTAAGAATATGAAAGTTGTATGTTTAATAAAAAAAACATAGCGTTATTGCATCGATTACTATTTTTAAGTGCGTCTCTTTGCAGTTCATAAGTACACCTTCATCATGGGCGTTGGTTTATAACAAGCACTTCATTATCTCCACCCTTATGGACCCCGTAACTTTGTTTGGAGTTGTATCTATATACTTGTAAATCGTTAATAGTTTCGAACATTTTATTCTTTTTTCAAAATATTAGTGACACTTGATTAAGAAACATGGGAAATGCTTGTACTGAATTTTGAAAATAGATCATAAATTTTAATTACTGTTACTGTTTATTTTACAGAGCGAAAACATCATGTTTGTGAGCTAATAACTGCATTTCTGCGAACTTTAACCTGCGGTCAAAATAAATTACTAACATTCTGATAGAAAGTCTGCGATCGAACGTGCCTATATAACAAAGATTTGAAATATGTAGTTGTCTCCTAGATACTATTTTTAAAAAGGACGACCTAACCTCAATCAAGCCAAATTAATTGTTCGATATTGGCAATTAAGCTAAAAAGCATTCATTATCAATCAACCATCAAAGTGAGCGGAACTTAAGTTTTGAGCCACATCCTTTTAGGGATGATTCTAAAATTCTATAATAGTTGAGAAGTATCTCGATATAACTTACCTTTTTCACATGACAATCAAACTCTTACGAAAATAGATGAACTGACAAATCACCCGGACGAAAAGGGCACATTCCTTTTAATTTGACAATGACAATTAAGGTTAGATTATTGGGCACTTCAGTAAAACTGGCACATCGCTTCCTCGTCAGTATTGACATTACGAAGCGTCTAGGAATCCCGAGCGCAAGCGTTCACCGTTTCAGTGGTGTATCTTTTACATATCACAAAGGGATAAACGACAATAAAATCAACCCTGCCCACCTACACTGCATGTCAATACAATCCTCATATCCCAATCTATTGCCATCATCCCGTCATCCTTGTAGTGTTTCACACCTTTTGTATTTAGAATCTTTAGGTATTTGTTTAATGAACTTCTTCGATTATTGTTTTATCATATTTAATGTATTCAACTGGATTAAGTTCCTCATTTCTTTTAAGCTGTCATTATTTTTCTCATCTTCATTTGCTCGTATCCAATCGTATCTCTTAACTACCTCATTGAATATATTGCTATCTACTATTTATTTGACGGCCTCATTTCTATTGTTTAATATCCGAATACTTGCTTCATACTTCCTAGCTAAGCTCTCGAAATATTCTGGAGGCTAAATTGGTAATATATATAGCTTTCGTTGGTCCAACCATAGACCGCCAACAATGGACAGCAGCGATCTGGTAATAGATTGCACTTTGTGCTGCCTTATTTCGATTCTAGAGGGTGTCAGACGCAGGATAGTAACACCTAACTGTCTGTAAAAGCTGTGGCGAAGATAAGTTAATATCTTCTATTAGCCTCAGGCATTTTACGTATATATTTCTAAAAGTTTCATCACCATTAACTATTGGCTACTCATTCATAGATTTGTTTTATAGACGTCATTGATCGCAGGGACTTCAATCACCAAAGTCAATTTCCATTTAATGTTTCTTTATACTCATTCGTTTCAATTTGATCAACGGTTTTCTTATATATTATTCCAAATAAAAAAAATTCCTACTCCTAGTTACCATTTTCATCGTCCTTTTGCCTTTCTTGAACCTGTTTCAAATATTAATGTCTCCTAACAATCATTTTATCTTTGGTATCTACTTAAATAGTACTATCCACTCGCATTTCAAATTATCATGGTAAACGCACACGTAACAAGCTACATCTCCCACGTAGAAAACTTAGGGAACATCTTAAACTTCCTTCTATTTTTGAGAAGGTTGCCATAATAATATTTATTTACAGAACATAATTAAGTCATGTATGAAGGTTGTGCGTCTTAGGCATAGTCTAAGGCAAGCTGGCAGGCATTGGAACTTAGATAGTACAAATTAAAAAATCTGATTCCCCGACCCCGATCTGATTCCAACAGATTTTATATCATACCTGAATTTATTCAATCATTGCATTCTCAACACCCTGTATATTTTTACGTGTCCAAAGTGAGCACACTGCAGGTATCACAAGTAGACGAGTACAGCCTTACTACCTCTGTATGATTTTTGGGCCCTAATATTCAAACACATAGGGCTGCTACTAACATAGTATCTGTAAAAAAATCGGTATTTTTTATTTAGCTTCGAAACGATGGCTTCAGAAACGGAATGAGAAAACAGCGTGCGAAAAGTACACACTTTCAACGTGCATCAGCTTGCAGAAAGTAGTGCTTTTCCGACCGAAACTTTTCCGCATAAGTGATACTTTTTACACGCAGATGCGTCTTGAAAGTGAGTACTTTCCGCACGCTGTTAGAAAAAATCTTATACCTAACACTTGCGGAAAAGTATCACTTTCCGCATTTGCTATTTAAATAACTATTCTTCAGTGCAGAAAGTTGTTCTAGTGCCGGTACTTCATCTCCCGGTTATCGAGTTAATCAAGTATCAAATTCAATCAATTTTCAGAATGTGACAGCTCCATTTCAATTATGTTGGCAATGAAATATGTATTGTGAACTATATCAAATTTAACACCAGCATCCATGTTACGCGACTTAAAAAGTGACAATTATATCGATTTTTTATGACTTTATTTTGGCTTTTTTGAGATTATGTAGGTCTTCCTATAAAATGTCACCTTTGAACCAAATGGCATTCATTTCATGCTCGCTGTCTGGTGCACAAGTTGACATTTTACAGATTTTTTGACATTATATAGGGACGACGTGCGGAAAATTGATACTTTCCAAACGGAAATGGTATGCTGGTAGAAAAAAGGTTTTTTTCGCATAAAAAAGCCGTACAAAAAAATACTGCTTCTGAATAAATTTTGCAACTGTACCGTTATTCACTAATTAAGAAACGTAATATATATATATATATATATATATATATATATATAGTATTCATAGTTAATTGTCTTAACTGTTAGAAGATATCCTTTAATTCCTTTGGGTAGAAGGCAAAGTATTGCAAAAGTACACTCTTATAACTTAAAATCTCAAGCTTTCGAAGAATTTTTTCTTCATCGTCTGGAGTAAGTAAGATTGTTGCCGAAATTGGCATTGTTGGATAATGTGGAGGTTATCAGTGGAAAAAAAGATGAAATCTCGAGGGAATTTTCAATAGTTGATAGTTTCAAAATCTCCAAATTTCTTCCAAAACCAATCAACGCCTAATTTTGATTAAAACCTTTCAAAATGATTTGCCATTTAACAATAAAATAATTCCGTCCTAATCGAACCTCATCGGTCCAGTTTAAAAACAGATATTAACTCAACGACAAAAAGATCCTATCCGTCCAAATCTACACTACGCCTCTGTTAAAATAAACAGCTGAAAGGAACTTTTTTTACTATCAACTGGACACGGTCAAAATCAGACTATGGACTTTATGCAGATGTCACTTAGAGACAATTTTCGTAGTATAATGCCGGCCCATGCCTTACTTTACCAACTGACCTGCTGATACGGGTACGCAGTTGTCGGATTGTGCTGAAAATCCGGTAATTCCTGAAATGTTAAGTACGCTGATCTAGTGCCGTAAAACTTTTTTTATAATTACAAAAATTCAGTTATTGACCTTAAATTCATAGTATTGAGTAGTTACACAAAAACAATATTTCTATATATAGCGATAAAAGAAATTTTTCATGGATCAAAAAAGTCTACATCTATGAAATATTACAATTTATTGCAAAACGCAATCTTTCAAAGGGCTGGGAATATGTCTTGCTTATCTGATATGTTATAAAAATCTTCATTATTTCTCTACGAAGTGCTGTCGAGTAAATTAATTTTGATATGTTATACAGATTTAGAGCTATTGAATTATTTTGAATAATGAACATTAGTTTTCAGACATTTTTAACTTTTTTTAATTAAACAATTTAAAATCAAAAGCATTCAATGCTTTCAATATTTTCACAAATTAATTTTTCCGGGTTAGAATAATTCGAACCAGAACAAGTTTGTGTGAAGGTTTCCTAGTATCTTTTCGGAAGGTATTGTAAGCAAAATGTTGCTTATTTTATCTCGTTGACAGCGCCAACCACATTTTTATAGTGCGTATATGTGTTTTTTATATATCGCTGACAAGTGGGCTTTGCTTCAGTGTCGAAAGCGTGTGATTGATAGCGTGACGTGGAGCGAAGTGCCCGCCTATCTGGGCCTAGACGGGACAAGAGGAAGTATGCATATCTGAGACCGCTTGCAACTAGAGGACCCTCAGATAGTGTAGTATTCTGGGGAAATATTACGTAGTGATGTGGCAACATAGTATTCAACGCGTGCTCTGCGAAACGTGTCCAAGGAACCTCCGTCCTCCGTCCGTCAGTGTGATAACCGCGTATGATTTGGGTGTCTTGATAATACGATCTCAGTGCCTGAAGCACCCAAAACGTAACGCACTACTTCCGATAAAATAAAATGACAGTTCGTTTGACCATATTCGTGTTTGCCGCATTTTTTGTTGCCGGAAAATGCAGAACGCTCGACTGGGGTAAGTGAGAAAATTCGATTTTCGCTCGTCAGTTTGATTTCGGCGCCTGCCATGCGGCTTTCGTGGAAAGTCACGTACGCAGTGTAAGTAGGAACTTTTTGAGAAAATCTATGAAAGCTCAACTTTTTTCTGAGGAGTAGTATCTATAATTTACGTAATATGTGTTCGGCATCTCTTTTAATTGAACCCAATCACAATATAGCCTTAATTATATAAAAAATCCACGGTCCAACATAATTATAATCTCACACTTTTACGCGAATATAATAGGAAACAAAACCTTTTATAATCCAATTATGACAAAATATGTATAGTATTTTGTGGTTTTTGTATAGATATTTTTCATTAGATTTGATTCAATCATGATAAATTCGAAATTTGCTATGCTTTTTTCATTGATCGATTGATGCCTGTATTAATCTTATACTTATTCTTCAATGAAATAAATGAATGGAGATTGATTGAATTTAGCCATAAGTTGGTTTAAGTCCTTCTAAAATCATTACTAGAAAGCAATATACGAATATAAATTGAATCCACGTGAGGTGTTCAATTCAAAGTTCAAAAATAATCTCAGAGGGTGGTAATTTTGAGTTTGCTGTGAGGCGCGCGGATTCAGAGCTTCGAGCTAATAATAATTAGCATTTATTCAATATTATACAGAAAAACTATAGTTATGTAACTACCTATAATGTTTGCGTGTTCTCTCGTTCCATGATAGGTAGGTATACGGAACTGATTTTTCTTTTGGGATTGAAATAGTTGTCAAAGCAAATTTTCATTTTCGTCTGGATCAGTCACCATATACAAGGTGCATGCAAGTCAACGGGAATACAGTAATATATTTCAAAATATAGGTTCACTGAGAACCAACTTTGTCTGACGGCTTGAGTTCATGTGTTCGAGAGAAGTGTCTATAGACACATACATATGTTAGAAAAGGATAGAAGCCAGCTGGATAGCGAAGCTCAACACCGCGTTGCATAGCAACGTTGACGCGGCAATCTGCCGCGTTGTCATTATGTTCCACCTGTTCCTAGAATCCTTGAATTAAGGTGCATGTCGAAAATATGCGTTTATTCTCTACGCCCAAATAATGGCTTTACTTTGAGCGTACACATTTTTGAATTGTGAACTATGTCGAATCTGTTTAGGATCGATACCAGATCAGTTCTAACGGCACTCAGGATGTGCATCATTGCATCACCGGTTCGCTTGGCAACACCGCATCTACATTCCAAGGCAAGGTTTCCAGCTTGATCATAGATGAGCGATTTTGGTTTTTGGTCAGTACCCATTTAGCGCTTATTGGGTAGTGTAGTCCTGCTTTCACCTGCGTACACGCAGACAATGATAATTTGTATTGCGTTATGGTATTTGTTATACTGAGGATGTGTTGATTTTATCCCATCAGTGTAAATCAAAGACAACGAAAATAAATTAAAACACTAAGTGGCATTAAATTTGGTTTTCCCTGTATAATTAAGGATATAGTGAAGCCAAAGGTAAAGTTTGATGTCTAACCGTAGAGAACTGTACCCTATAGGGTATAAATAGAAAAAATAATTAAAATGTTCGTAACTTTTTCCGATAAAATTGTTTATGTGTTCCTAATTAATTGAAATTAATGTTGAAAAAGCCTATGTAAGCTGATTCTTAATGAAACTTTACATTTTTTAAAATGACAGCGGTGCCTCAGGGTACCGTGAATTTAGTTCTATTATGGATATGGCTCTAGGAGTCTAGGTTAAACGAAAAGCTCTTTGCATTATACAGTACCAACTGTCCAATTTTGAAATTACGCTACCTGTATATTTTATACCATGCGATCTTCATATCACGCATTGAGTATCATGAATTATTTCAATGGGTTAAATTCTCGCTTTTCCACTATTTCTTTGGTCAGCGGGTTCTCGAACGAAGACGTCAGGATGATCCAAAACACATCTATACTAAGTGACATATAAATCCGAACACCCAGTTTAAATGGTTTTATTTTAATAAAAGTTTGTATAAGTACTTATTGAAGCATAATGAGTAAATGATAAAAATTTCAAAATGATTGCACTGCTTTAAAGCCCTCTGACCTTTAATAATGTGTGGATGCACCCTGATGTGCTACGCATTCTCCAACGCGCCTAGGCATGCTTCTGATCAGGTGGTCAATGTCCTCCTGTGGTATCTCATTCCAGGCAACCACCAACTCCTCTCGAAGTGCTTCTAGAATCTGAGGAGGACGTTGCAAATTGAGCGATCTCCTACCCACCATATCCCACACGTGCTCATTTGGGGATAAGTCGGGAGATCTTGGTGGCCATGGTAACAATGTGACATCATTATGTTGAAAGAAGTCTATTGTGACTCTTGCAACATGTGGTCGGGCATTATCTTGTTGGAAAGTTGGATCTGCCAGGGTGTCAAGATAGGGTAAAAGATGGGGTTCTAGAACTTCGTGGATATAACGCTGCGCGTTCATGTTACCTCTGATGAAGATTAAAGGTGACCTGGAACCATAAGCTATAGCACCCCAAACCATAACTCCAACAGTGTGATGAACATGTCTTTCAACAAAAAACTGTGGATTCCTCCTTTCACCACGTCGCCTTCTAACCCTGGCACGACCATCGTGCATGCCTAAACAAAATCGAGACTCGTCACTAAAGACAATACTGTTCCATTCCTGATCCCAGAGTGACCGTTGTCTGCACCACTCAAGGCGATTACGTCGGTGTTCTCGAGTTAAAGGGAGGACCCAGTGTGGCCGGTATGAAAACAAGCCAAAACTTCTCATTCGTCGGTAAACACTTCGCATGCCAATAGGTCTTCCGTGTTCTGCAAACCATTCATTTGCAATGGACCTGGTAGTGGAGAAACGGTCCCTTAAGGCCAATAATCTTAGGCGGCGATCTTCACGGTCTGTTGTTCTACGGCGGCATCCAGTGCCCCTTGCTCTTTGCGTACGGCCTTCTCGAAGCCATGCCTGACAACACCTAACCACAGTGTCTACACTTCTTTGCACTCTAACTGCAATTGCCCGAAAAGAATGTCCAGCTTCCCGAAGTCTATACGGCCCCTATCAAACTCACTAAGTTGGCGAAATCGTACAGGTCTCCGTAACCGATCGTAAAGGATGTCAAGAACCAAAATCCGCCAACGTTGATTCTTTACTGCGGCTGAAATATTCATTTTTAGAGCGTTAGTGAATTGAAAAAAAAGCAGTATAAAAACCGGAATGTCCAACTGATAAGGCTGAAAATTATTTCACTTGTTATTTACAGTAAGATAAATACATTCACCAACTTTTATTAAAATACAACCATTTAAACTGGGTGGGTGGGATTTATATGTCACTTAGTATATTAAATTCTAAAATACGAGAATCGCCTGCACACGTAGCAATCTGGTCTGAATCCCCAATTGTCAGCAATCAGAAGTCTCCTTCACTGACTACTAAGACCACGACACTATTCGCAATCGTCAAAATTATAGACCTATATATTAAAAAAACATAAATAGTAACGCGGTACTAAGTGACTCAGCATGTTTGACCTGCTGGCACCTCCGACTCTTGTCTCCAAATTACCACTTGACAAAATATAAACAAAGTAAATGCCCGATAATATTTGTTGCTGTATGTTGAAACAAACTAAGTAAAATTGCAACAATGATTGCGAGTGACAAACTTATCTCATAATGTCGCCTATTCAATCTTTATTATTCTATGTGCACACAGGGCTCGTGACAAAGGTTCTGGCTTGATGAGGGGGCCTCCAAATGCCCGAAAATCAAAATATTAAAAAAATATCTCGAGTGTCTCCAGCTCTACCGCCCTTTCGATTTTTCCCAACGGTAAAGTAGGGCCCCGAATTTCCCCCTGACCTTACTGCATCAACACCGAGTTTAACTTCCCCTTTCGAATTCCTGATTAAGCTTTTTCCAACATTATGCGTGATGTTACATTATCCCCAGCGAAGCAAACCTGGCGTTTGGCGACACAAACAAAATTAATTTGTGTGAAATCGGTGGCACAAATTGAATATAGCTCAGTAACTCATATAATGCAATGTGTTTTGAGCGCCATTTCCATTTCTCAAACGGTCACGTATAGCGACAGACGTAAATTAATATCCTATTGTGATATATGCATTTTTAATCGTACATTTTATATCCTATTTGTAAGTCATGTAATAAATACTCATGTTATTGGCACACATGAATAAAACAAGATTAAGTAGAGTTTTGTCGAATATACTTTTGTTTCCGTCAGCAATTGCAATTCTGCTTGGCTATTATGATAGTAGTACCAAAGTCCCACTCAGATATTAGTCCACTCATTTATCATACCCCAGCAGATTATCAAGGGTATCTTTATTTATAAGTACACCATGTCCTATTCGTTTGTCCTTAAAGTTGGGACCTTACTTTATATAACGTATATGTCAGGTAACATTAAGCAAGTTTTTTAGTAACACATACACAAAAGCCTTAAAATAACCGGGTATCAAGTTCCGAAAATCTCTGAGTGGGCTAAGCTCGATTCCGCATCCTACGTGTTCGGTGTTTTGTGGTACGAAATTCAAATCAGGCGCCCGCGATGTGTGGGATCAGATTTGAAAACCCGAAATTGGCCTATAGCAATAACGAAGTTATCAATTTGATGTTATTTTACGGGCGAGTGTCTTCAAGGTTCTACTAACACTTTTCGAGTGTATTCAGATCATTTCCGTCTCGAGCTAGGCATGCTTGTTTACGTCCGGCAAATGCAGTTGAGCTGGATACGGTAGAAGACCTAGACAGCCCCGTATATTGTAAATTTGGGAAAAGTTAACAAACTTGTCTTTGAATTGAACGGCGACAACTTCCAACATTAGCAAAACAAATGAAAAGAGAGGTCCCAAATTTTAGGACACGCTGTATAGTTTCAGACACTTGTAGCTTGATACAGGGGGTGTCCCCTCCGAAATATGTGGGTTTAAATTGATTTAAACGGTCGAACTTAAGTAAGAATCTGACCCATATTCTGATTTCGGCCCTTTTGATTAATCTACATGTTGTCATGCTAGTACCGTCATATATTGGATGATAATTTCAACTCAGCATGTTAATTTGGATATCGAAATCAGTCAAAATCAGCCCGACTCCATCAACTTAGGACTGTTATTCTTGGTATTATATAAGCTTTCGATCAGCTGTGTCATATTGATCTTCAATGCCAACTTCCGTCTTTTGCGAAGGAGTGACTGATTCCTTATCGATCGTCACAAATCAGTCGAAATCGATGGAATTTCTTTTCCATCCCATATTTTCAACACGGGTGTTCTCCAAAGGTTGGTTTTATCTTCAATGTTATTCCTGTGGCACATTAATGACATCCTTTCCTATATCTATCCACAGGTTTGTGGATGGGAGCACTTTATATGCAGGCCAGCTGCCAGACTGATCTCTGCGGTGTAAGCATACGCGATCCATATATGTATGTAGTTATTTAACCTTCAGATTTATATATATATATATATAGAGAGAGAGAGAGAGAATTCTTTGGGCTTGATGTACCACAGCAAGTGTTATAACCGGCCGCGTGGTTGTGGTTATTTGTTGCCTTGAAAATTCGAGGTCTTCTAGCCATTTTATACTACAATGTGTGGACTTCGTGTGTCTTTTTTTCCCTCTCCATCTTAGTTTCCTCAGGTTACACCTGTATCGGGATGTATGCGCATGTGTATCTAGTTTTGTAGTTGCATATGTGCATTCATTTCGGGCTTGATGAAGCCAACTAGCAGAAATACGTATCGCTCGGGTTACCTATCCTATCCACTTTTGCGGATTTTGCCCATTATTTTCCTATTTTTGGCGACAACTAACCACAACCACGCGGCCGGTTATATATATATATATAACCGAAAATAGTCGTATAACCGGCTTTTATATCCAATGATTCCTCATATTCCCATTTGACTAAAAGATAATGCTAATCCGTATGTTTTGGTCGAAATATGAAATGAAACTGGATAATTATTATAATAAGATTGAAAGTTGTTCCATAAAAATTTCACTTACGTTGGTATGTCAATTTAAATTAGTTTAAAAAAGTTGTTTATATCCTATTGAAAACCATAACATTTTTTTATCGACGATCATGTTGAGTGGCCGTTCGCAAATAATCAGAACGAAATGTGAAAAAAGTTATGTGTGTGCATGTATTACATATTTGCATTTTTATGTGATCAGTCAATTTCCTAAGAATATTAATCAGCATTTTTATTATATGTGCTACTTTGCTAGACGTCAGAAGTATAATAAAAAATAGGTAACAAAAATGTTTATTATAGATTGTTTGCGAAAGTATTGCGACATCACACACATGGGTCATTTTTATTTTCATTGACATTGACAAACATTGAAGTGAATTGTTATAATGATTTCGGTTTCATCCGCATTTTTTTGATGATATATCAAACACTTTATTTAGTAGCACCGCAGTGGCTGTGGCTTCTATGGTTGTGACTATTTTGAACCGTGGCTTAAGTAAATTCAGTTCTGTTTGGTCTATATCGTTGGTTAATATCCACAAATTATGTCAAATCCTGTCGAACATGCTACAAGTAGAAGTAAGTATAAATAATTACATCAAATACCATCTTGGTAAGCTGTTTGCCAAAAGCTAGTTTTCAACTGATTTTCTAAGCAAAAAATGGCCCATGGTCATGACAAAACTGATTACAACTGTTGTAGCTTGAATTAATCAACTTTGCAGTTTTGTATTCCTGATACATTCATGGGATTCGGTAAACTTAAAACATTTATCAAAAATATGACGTTTCGGCGACTATAAACGCCATATTTGATAGAGGATATCTACTATATACGGGCGCCTGCAAGGGGGGATAATTGGCCAGAGATAACTTTTTTGTCAAAGTAAACCTCTCCTAAAAACTTTTTCAAGGGCGGGGGTAGTAAATTTTCTGAAGGAGGCCAGATCCTAAAAATCTCTAAAATTATGTTGAATATTAATATGGATTTTAAAGTTTATCCGCCCAGCGGGCGGCCATGTACAGTTTTGCATTTCTGAGACATGACGCGGCATATGTTGCGGAGTAGATTTCTTGTAATGGAAACGTACCTTAATGCTTTGAGGCCAGGTTTAGAGAGAGAATGCTATCAGGAGCGAAGTAAATTGACTATGAATTGGTAGTCATCCCTGAATGAAGACCAGTAGTTCCTTGTATATACGATGTACGTACAGACATCAGGTCATCAAGTCGTCAAAATAAAGTATAATTTCAAGCTTTTCAGCAGTATGCACACTTAAAAGATAAATCTACCGTTGTTATTGTCTATAAATAATCTCAATTACTTATGATTCATACCGAATGGAAAAAATAGCTTTCTATCCAAATTTATCCAGGTTCCGAAAGTGTCAATAAATTCTCTCCTTCGATAAACTGCAACCTGTTCTTGTTTTGTACTGAAAGGTCACTGGATAAGAGATTTCGTCTCGGAAAAGTACTTGATTTACGTGAATTCAATACATGTAAATAAAATTTCCCAAGTATGCATCTTATCATTGAGTATATTTTTTCAATTTCATAATGTTATACTTTTTTGGCCAGGACAATTACGTAGGTATTATTTATGAGGGAGATAACCGAGTGTATAGATTGAAAGATTATTTTAAAGTAAGAACAGCTCATTGTTTTCGGTTGTTGTATAATGTATAATTCTGTAAATATAATGTAAATGTATGTCCGAAAAATGCCTGGTATGTCAGTGGGTGCGAATTCGGCAGGCTAAACCTCATAAATTTTTGGGCAATCAAAAAAGGTTTCATGTATGGATGTGTATGTTTAAACATAGTCTCGGTCTTGCCAAAATTGATCTACTCATATTTCTTTGTTCTTAACACTATTACTGCTGATATAATTTCCATAATTATGGTAAAAACACTCTCAGCTTTATAGAAAAAAAATTGCAATTGCTAATTTACATCCAAACAGGATGAACTCCATTAGCGGCATTTACACCTAAATCTGATGGCATCCAGTATTATTTGGAGATATTTTACCACACAATTTAACACATTTTCTTTTCTGCAATCACTCAACGTTTCGTGGTAGATGAGATTCCAGACCAAGGATCACATAATCATAAATACCATTCGTATGTGTGTAATAGAGGTATTTAGAAAATGTACTTGAAATGTAATGGATGACTACGTAAGGTTAGATCAAATCTGTGCAGAAAACATACATCTAATATTATTGCTGCATACCGGAAAAGGAAGTCAGTTGCAACCATGTTACGTTTGAACCCAATATAATAGAAGGTTTGGATTATTTCTTTGTTCAGAATTAGGATAACACTAGAGGAGTACTACTCCACTCAGTGGTACTCAAAGTACCTTCGATTATCAAGTGTTTGAAAATAGAAGTAAAAAATGGCGTCAAGTAGGTTGATTCTGCCCTCCCCACGCAACGCCGTCATCATGTTCAGCACAAACTAGACTCTCTCAAAAAATCATACAGGTCCAAGTCCATAGACTTCTTTCCCTGCCCTACTGGTAGTCCATCTGGCAGATTCGCCTCTTCCCGATACCTAATCCGGTCAGACGTGGCAATGCGTCCATAGCATGGGAAACACTATGCTGTTGGGCGGCAGTAATACGTGTAATACCAGGCTGGCGGCACGCCGCCGGGGGCAGACGCAGTCGCGGCTGGTAGGAACGCCATCCGTATACTGAGAAGATTTTAAGTTTCAAGGGTAAATGTACGGAGAAATCTATGATGTGTGAAATATGTGTAATGGGTGCGTAGAATTACCAATGTTGAGGGCATATAAATATACTTACATCAAAAAATTGAGAGATTCTACTGAATAACTACTACCATTCCCACCCTCCTTACAAACCACACTCTAAAATTTTTAACCTTTAAAAATTATTTAAAAAATGATCAGGATCCTCTAAAACAGGGTATCCCAACCTTTTTTGTTGAGGCTTTCCGGACTATAAATTATATTCTCATGCCCCTCTTTACTTTTTCAATAAATACAAAAAAAAAACGCACATTATGTAGGTACAAAGACTTTTATTTTAATTCTAATAAAGAAAATTTAAAACTTTAAATAAACTAATAAATGTTTCTTGTCGAAAAACTTGAATAAAATAGTATGTACTAATGAGACACTTGAGATTGGATGTTCTGTACCAGTTGGTTGATTCTAGGCTCTGTTTTTGCCAGAGCTATCATCAGGTATACTTTGAAAGTCTCATAGATGGCACTGTAGTCACCTATTTGCTCATACTCGTATATATATATATAGCGCCGTCTATGAGACCCTAAAGTATATATAGTAAATAGAGAAAGAGCTGTGACAAATTCTTATATAGGACGCTCCGGTATCTTATTTTATCTCGGATAATTTTGGAATGCGCGAATATATTAGGTTGAATACGTTAATCAATGGTGAAACTAAACCCAACAATTGAAAGTGCCATGCTAATGTAAAGCGGTCCAGCACTGCAGCGCTTATATGCTGAAGAGCAGTAGCGCTGGAATAGCTTTGACAGTTTTGTCTTGGTCGGTTAGATTCGATAGTTTGTTAATTAACCGTTGCGAAGAGGATAATGATTTACGTAGTTGCTCACAGTGGCTTGTCCAACACTCATCAATAAAGACTCGTAGGAGTTTAGTATATTTTGGCTCTCTAATACTGAACTAAAATCGAATAAAAGGCTATGCACCGTTGGACTGTTTCACGACTTAGTTGGCTGGACGCGCTCATTGATTTATGGACGAGTTTGTGCGATTGTTTACCTCTGAGCTGCCGATATGTAATTCTTTCATACTGAACTGGATCTGACCTATCGTAATAATTCAAAAAACTATCAAATATGAGGAAAATTTATTCCTTAAATAGAAAATGATATGAAGTTGTAAATAAATTACGTTCGGTCCAGCTACAACAAGTAAATAATAAATATGCGAAGTTGAAAAAAAATAAGATTTATCGTACTTGTAGTCTGAGAATTACGCTGGGGTCATTAATGATACCCTTCACATTCACGTGATACAAATATGAGGAAAACCCATTGCTACAGGATCGATACACGTATTATCTCCTATTTAATAAAGGCATTTATTAAACGTTGAAGATACTTATAACAGTTTTTTTGAGAAGAGAGATAGAAAGATCCATCTCCATATTGTTCTGCTCAATCAACCAGAAAGTTCGAGCTATACGGGAGAAATATTTTTGAATTTAAATATGTGCACCATGAACACTACTAATAAAGTGTGCAAAAATGAGGTCTGATAGTGTTCGTAATGGAAACAGCGTAGTTAGTGGGTGTTTAGCTGGTGCTGGACCTTCGCTTCAACATCTTTATTCAGCCTCCATCAAAATCTTATGACTATCGTTTTGGCGACTAAATCTACTCCATTTGGCCAATATTTCCAATATTAAAAAAAATGGCGTCAAGTAGACTGACTCTATACCTTCCTCGCCTTCGAAACAACTTCTAGCATAATTTTTCATGAGTAGTGAAATGGCATTAGAAAGACATAGGCTTTGCCAGAACCGTTAGTAAGGACTTTTTATGAAAAAGGATATCCTCAGATTGGAGCAATCAGCGTGTCCGTATATGATAGTCTGATTCCTTTGTAGCTCTGGTATAAAACTGTTTGTCAACAATGTTTTATAACTGATCATAATAACTCTTGATACGTACTTATATGCTCTACAATATAATATAATCTCACGAAATCAGGTAACCTAATAATGCCCTTTTATAATAAGAGTAGATAATATTGCGCCTACAATGCACATGTGATACATCACCGCCCGCGTCTTCACTCTTCTATCTGCTTTTGTCCCTCGGTTCCCTTACCAAGATACATTATTTACAAGGACGGCTCGACGATAAGTAGGTACGCGATTTGTCGCCTGAAAAATTTTATGGTTGTAGTTTGTAGGGAAAATGTACGGCGAAATCCATGATGCGTGAAATATGACTATTAGGTGCGTAGCATTATCGGGGTTAGAAGTGTATTAATACACAATATCAAAAAATTGCGATACACGCTCCCCCGCCACTCTACAACCCATACCCCCCAATTTTTAACCCTAAACATTTTGTAAAAATACGCAATTTAATCGATTTTTATTTTGGCATTTTTTCCACCGCCACTGTACCGATTTTCAAAAACTACAAAGTTTTTTGTCCTTGGCATAGTAGTAACATGGTGTAAAAATCAAAATCCGAGCGGTACTTCTCAAGTTACAGGCGGTTCAAGGATTAGCGGACAGACTGACAGACCGACCTAAAATGAGTTACATGGTATTTCGTGTTGTACATGTCATATAACATCTAAAAAACATAATATCTCATTTTTGAAATTTGTCGCGATTACAAAACTTCCCCGCCAGTAGGGTTTAGGATTAAAAATATCTCTTCTGTGAAACTTCTGTTTCTAAGTTTATGATAGTGTCATAGTACTTTTTAAAAAAGGGTTCTAAATTATATATCTTCTTTACAGAGCTGGCACTGGTCCTAGAAAACCAGATCAAGCTCCTGCACTCGAATGGCGACCTGATGGAGTCCAGAACCCAGCCGTTTAACTCACTGAAGGCTCTGGCGTACGACAATGTCAGGGAGCAGTTCATAGTCAGTGACATGGACGCAACCAATGACACCATCTATACCGTTCAACTGACCAAAGAGACTGATACCACCGTACCAATCATACAGGAGCTTCCAGGGGACGTACAGGTAAAAATATGAAAGAAGGAGAAGATACAAAATGTATGTGTCGTATGGCCAGCCCGCGGCACAGGAGTTATGGAAAAATATGCCACCTAGGAATTTGACAAAGCCCATAGTAACCCTAAACAAATCACCTAGTCCCCTGAAGAAGTGTGGTGCGCTAAGCCGGTACTAAACCAATGCATGGGCGCCAGTAGAAATTTTTCTCAGAGGGGGACCAATTAGACATCGCCAAGAGACAATTTTTGTAATATTATGGAAGCTCATCAGTCCTCAAAATTTTTTGAAAAGCGAGGGGAAGCAAATTTTCTCAAAAGGGTCTCAGAAATCCCTAAAATTGTACACACAATCATGTTAAATCTGCAAATTTTCGGGGCCAACCGGATTCTTGGGGGGCTACCCCTCTATAGAGCAATGAAAATGTGCAATATCTAATACTTTTTTTATTTTGTGGGCTCCAACACTATTTGAGTCTTAGGAGGCTGTAATGTTTTTCTCAGAAGCCGCAGCTTTTTGATTAATTTTTGGTTAATTTAGAACATTATATATGTGCTCAAACGGCAATACGCCGAGATACATCTCGCATTCTGAATTGACTAAGAATATACGTGTGTTCGAGCTCCCAAAATGAACATAAAACTAGGCCGTAAGGTCTAATAGATATTTATTTGCATGGATCAATAAGAAGAAGACATTCACTGTATTTGACATCAACAAGTGAGATACGATAATCTTATCGAAAATCCAAGTTGTGGTAGCAGTATTATGAAAAAATTCTCACCTTGTTCGGAGTATTCCATTAGTAAATAGAACTTTAGTGGACGATACATACATTCGTTCGCAAATATTTTGAGGACAAAAAATCCGATCATTCTTCCACAATATAGTAGGTATCATTATATCGGAATCGTTACCTTTATTATTAATGACAGTGCAGTTTTTTTTATCTTCATTCACGTTCCATAATTACCCGGATAGAGAAATAGAAGGAATACTTGAAGAGAACATTTTTAGTGTTTTGTACAAGAAAAATAGACCTATGACAAAGATACCGCCAACGATTTCATAATTTAGTCATAACAACCGTTGTATTTTATCGATAAAGAGAAACATTAAGCCTAATTTTCCGTGAATTAACATGAATCGTGTCGAAAATATGTATACCGTTAAACGAGCAAAAATACAATTTTGCATCACATTACCAAAACAAAAAAATCTTGGCATTGAAAATTGAGGCAATATTCTTTGAGAAATAAGTAATTTCGGGAAGATTAGAACATTACATAAGTCGGTGACTACTTACATAGCAGACAACAACGAAACGTAATAATTAGATAATGCGAAAAATGTTCATGATTTAGAAATATCCATACAAAGGTGTAATAAAAATGAAAATGTTGAGTCCTATCTGATGATCACGAGAATGAAATTGATTTACTTTCTTTATAGGCACTGCAAAAAGCATGGCCATTTATCCATCATATCTTGATTACGCCATCTATAAAAAACATCAACTTTGCGGTGGGAATGTGGGAGCTTCTCAAATAATTCAAAATTTTGAAAGCAATCAATGTTGTTGAACAAAAATATTTTCAAAAGGGAGATAGGTGACATTGTCGCAATAAGGACGGAACTAATCTGATATTTTTTAACACCAGAAATTGTAGTACACTTCCCGATCTTCTAATATTGGACTTCATGTTGAGTGCATTTATTTTTATTAGTTGTCATTTCAACAAAAAATCAAGCAGCAGCGACATCAGTACTTTTTAAATAGCCCGTTCATAAGAGTATAGTATACATGTTGATACTTACTCTAATAGTGACTTTTGATAACCTTGATCCGAATAATATCCGTAGTAAGTTATTCTATGATGAAACGCAAATTCATAGAATTAAAATAGAACGTAACGTTTTGTATGCTAAACGTTTTTACTTTCGCAGGTGAATTCTGTTTAACACTCATATTTTAATAATCGTCAGCGAAATCATGTATGGCTCTTTCAAGCCATCGTAATAATCCATATTTTTGAGAAATTCAAATATATCATTTTTAGTTTCCTTAATGTTTTTAAAACCACGGGCTGCTTTTGAACGAAAATTACTTTTACAGGGTTTAGCTGTAGATCCGATCGATGACATTTTATATTGGACCGATGCGATAAACCATACAATTAACTACGTTCACTTAAATGGCACTTACTATGAATCTAAACCACTGTTCGTTTTCGATGACGAGGAAAAAAGGCCGCACTCCATCGTCGTGGATATTTGCAAACGGTAAGTTTCTTCGCACATGATTTCGGCGGACTTGACTAAAAATTTTATACTCATTTTGAATGATTTCAAATGCTGCTGTAATTCGTCCAATTAAGCCTAGCTCTGTTTCTACTGGAGTTTCGTAAACCAAAAACTTTACATGTCCCCACAGGAAAAAATCTAGCGACGTTAAATCGGTGTATTCAGGTTGGAGGAAGACATTTTGAACAATTGTTGTGATGACATCATGTACAAAAGGCAAAAATTAAATGCATTAAATCCTATTTAGGCAATTCATCGTCTTTCTAAATTTTAACGCGCTTAGGGCCGTAGTGACACTTTTACGGATATGGGTCCCTATAATCAAATGTTTTCTACTGTTACACTGAATAACCCTACACGTTTGATCCCATAGTTCTGAAACACCCTGTATTGACCAAGTTTACTATACTACAATAGTCGAACTAGGACACAAAAATTAGAATACTAATAAAAACTTGCTTGACGAAATGAGATGACTCCCGAGTCGCGAGATATTTTCAATTGTGCCTTTGCTTTGCTCCTTGGTCAAAATTTTTCATGGCCGTTTTGCATAAATGTGAAAAGATCAATCTTTGAGGCAGCGTTAAATTTTCTCTTTTAATACGGAAGTGTCTGAGAGCTCATTGGCATATACCCTTAAATTCAAATAACCAATAAAAAAGAAAACCAGTGGTATTAAATCACCTAACCTAAGGGAAGACTGATCACAAAAACTAAAGAGTTCACGAAAAATAATGGGGAAAAACCGGAAAAAGAAGGAAAGTGGATTCGAGCAGAAAATAGGAGAGGTAGCCCGAGCGATACGTATTTTTGCTTGTTGGGTTCGTCAGGCCCGACATGAATGCACATATGCAACTACAAAAGTAGATACACATGCCGATACATCGGAATAGTGTAACCTGAGGAAACTAAGATGGAGAGAGAAAAAATAAACACAAGAGCCAACCTACACATTGAAGTACTAACCACAACCACGCGGCCGGTTATAGCCACTTGCTGTGGTACACCACGTGTGCGAAGTGGTTGAACCCGACGAAGAATGGTGTTTCGAGAAGGAACAGCTCGATTCCGATGAATATTGAAGTGGCGACGAAACTCACGCTGTACCACCGTGATAGACTCATTATATCGGTCAAAACCTTCATTCGCGAAAACGCGGTCCTGAACCGTCCACTGCTCCATAATGTCTACTGGTAAAAATGCTAGGAACGCCCAAGTCGAACGGCACTCTCTCCACCACTCTCGCCCGACATCCGTCCTTATGCCGGACCCTGTATCTTGGTAGTCTTGCCAAAATTGTTTTCTATGCGGTAAGGATGCAAAGTGCTACTTTTCCTACTGGAATACACCTCATCCAATATTTCGAGATTAGCGCAAGTAGGGGAAAATTTCAGTTTATACTGATCGTTTTCGTGCGTAGCTTGAAATTACGCCGAATCAACCTATTTAATACAAGGTTCTCTATCTCAGGTATATTTATTGGACCAATCCCAGCAAGAAGCCCACAATCGAAAGAGCAAAACTCGACGGCACTGATCATCAAGTTCTCGTAAACACCTCCATAATATCACCAGAAGGACTGGCGATAGATTACAAGGCTCAAAGGCTCTATTGGGCTGATTCGAGAATAGGCTCGATCGCTGGGAGAATAGAAAGTATTGGGTTGGATGGAGAGGACAGAAGAGTGCAAGTGGAGAGAAACACTATGCAACCATTTGGGATGGCTGTAGATGAAGATGCTATTTATTGGACAGACATCAATAACAAAGGTAAACGGCTTTATCAACAAGATCACTTTTTTGGCCTGCTAGACTAACCCGTCAGGCTTTTGGTTCACTTTTCAACTCGGTTATAGAATCCTATACAACGTGTTATTAAGAGTATAGTTCTTGTAAAAATAAGCAATTTTCCGAGTAACACTATACACCAGAGTCATCAGATGACAGAGTTATTAGGTTTCAAAAAAATCCCGCAAAAGATTAAGAGAAGACATATGGCTTGCATCAGTATCTAATTCTAGGTGAATCGAGTCGTTTGTTTATAAATTGGATTCGAGAAAAACGGAAATCGCACATTTCAATTCTTTCACTTTTTTCGCTACTGTTTTACTGCACTTTAGCTTTGTTTCTGAAATGGAAAGGCCGTATTGTCAGAACACCCCGTACATTGAGAAATGGTTCGTAAGACCGGTTATTCGTTCCTGGTTTGAATGTCATACAATCAGTATTTATTCATTTACTGATCATTCCCAATCCTTCCGTCTGTGTCTATAGATTTCTACGTAACCTTATATATCAATAATTACCGAAGACCTGGCTACACACACCACATTTCATGATAAATACTGACAGATTGCAGTAGATACTGATAGTGTGACATTTGCCCTAGGGTGTTAAGAGTGAAGAAAGATCTATACGAGATTACGTATACTAGATCCTGACCAGTTCAAAAGTCATATCAACAATTTCTCATAAATTCTTTTACTCGAATGTTGCAGGGTTGTACAAGTTTTTCAAGAATTTTGACCAACATGAAGAACCACTGAAGCTTTTAGAGTTTGACAAAGTTCCCATGGGTTTAGTAGCAAACAACAATATTGTTAAAGAGAAGCCGGACTGCACTTCACTTGAAAAAGCTTTAGAGACACATAAGAGGAGAACTGGGAACTTGGACTTCACCAATAGAATGGCAGAAGAAGAACAAGTGGTAAGAATGATGGAAAATAGCTATTTTTGGAACGTCAAGGGGATTTATATCTATTTAGCTTAGATCCGCAGATTTAAATATTACAACGTTGACTAACTTACCAAATGAATTCTGCTGATCAAATTTTTACGAAAAAATATTGCACCATATCTGCAGGCATATCTGGCGGACTACATAGAAGAAGTAGCTATATTTGTAAAATGCACTCGCCACATTTTAGATTTTTCATCCCTCGGACAACAATCTTTATCCGATGCACTTACTATGTATTACTCGTGTTTGCTAGATTCCACTGTTGCAATAATATCTCCACTAATTTTTGATTATTTTTTCAGGTCGAGTCATGCTTAAACGGTGGAGAACTGGTAGGCCATTACTGCAAGTGCAAACGTGGCTTTATGGGTAGACAGTGCGAGACATCCATATGCTACAACTACTGCCTGACTGGAATCTGTTATTTATCATCACTTGGAAAACCAATGTGCCGCTGTGATCAGCAATTTGATGGTGACAGGTGCCAAAGAAATAAATGTGATGGGTTAGTATTCCCTTATAAATATTTTAAATCAAGAAAATATCAAAATGCGAAGCCCGAGTAATCTATTACTTCCTACACTGATTGGAGAGAAAGTATTGTAATTGCGAAACATTTCCAAAATTAGATATAATGTTTTTTCGATCTTATATTTATATGCCCGTTTATTTTCCCTTTACTTTACAACGAAATGTGTTTTATACGCACGTGCTTCTGCTTCCGCCGGCGTGCCTGCCTTAATGAGTGTTCTGGTATTACTGCCGAATTGCCGCGTCTAACGCGCCGGGTTAGGTAACGGGAAGAGGCGACGCTGCCAGATGAACTACCGGTCGAGCAGGGAAATAATGCCTATGCACTAATTGTATGGATCTGTTTGGCTGACTTGATCCGTTTAAATTCTCTGTTGTACACACACAATTTTTTTCTCAGAGGGCCTAACTTGTGCTGAACATAATCGTCATGAACCGATGACGGTGTTGCCTGGGAAGAGCAGAGTCAACCTACTTGACGGTGTTTTTAAAAATATAGAGATGCTGTTTCCGATACTAATTTGGAAAACTGTTAAAACATTAGGTGTTTGTATCGGTGCAACTCAGTATATACATGACGTCGGTTTATCCATGTTAGAAATCATCAGATCAGTGCGATATACCTTAATGTTTAAATTGGGGCAAAGGGAGTTTGTAGTGGTTCATTAATGCACCACTATTGCATTTTTTAATTATGTAGGTTTCGCGATTTCGTTTATTAATCACACTATTGTTTTTCTTTCAGTTACTGTTTAAATGGTGGAGAGTGTTATACTTATTCTCGAACAGAAACTAAATGTCATTGCTCAGAAGGTTTTACTGGCGAGAGATGCGAATATGATTGGGCGTTATGTCAGTCTTATTGTACAAATCAAGAAGCTTTGTCGGATGTCTTAGAGACCCAGTGCCGGTAAGTCATTTAAAGCATCATCACTTTTAACTTTTTCAATAAGCATATTCATATATTGTTGATACTTATGACGAGGCTTCTATTGGTCATATTCCTTCACAACTGCCACGATATGTAGTAGCTTTTGGAATTTCATTCTTTGGTATTTCACCCATTATTTTTTTTTATTGTAACATCCTTTACAATACCATCTGACTTCATGTGATTTTCCTTCTTTTTTTCAGTACATCTCGGTCCCGTCTTGTGTCAACTTTTGACGAAGACGGTAGATTAGACACATTATTTATTGCAAACAGGACTTCTGCGCTTTGGCCGGATGGGCATTTTTCTAATATTTTGCTTGGCGCTTAACGTGTTAAAAGCAATTTTGTCTCAGGGAAATTGATTTTATAAACGGCATTCTAAAATAAGTTTGCATACTAAATTTCTTCAACTATTTCAGATGCGACATCCACAGGAACAGGACAGCAGCATTCCTATCTGCTGATCCACAACAAAGAGAAAACATCCTAGCCAAACTGAACGACCCACAATTCTACCTGGGGGCTCTCCTCTCTCTGAGCGTACTGGTCATAATCTCTTTAGTTGTCTACATCCGTACAATTTACAAAAGGAGGCCAAGGATAAAGAAACGCATCATCGTCAATAAGAACGTTACACCTTTGACGTATAGGCCACAGCCCACAACAGAGCAGTGTGAAATCACAATTGAGAACTGCTGTAACATGAACATTTGCGAAACGGTAAGATAACGTTGTTAGAAGAGCACCGGTTTGATTTACACGTGTCATCTAGAGAACCGGGAATTTAACTTTGGGGCATTTATCATGGAGGCAGGCATTAGAATTGTGCAAATGTACAAAAGTTCATTCTCATTAGAGATATTTTTATGGAATACAATGGTGACATGGTAAATGTTCCGGTGAGCCTTACCATAAATATGGACTTTTCGTGGCCCCAGTTGGACAATGATATACCTTAGCAATGTGTATACGGAAAAGGTAACTTTGAAATTACCATTTACCTGATTGTCGGGTGATTTCTTACAATGTGAGATCATGCGCTCTAATTCTACTTAACATTTTTTGTGGGACTCCACAAGAATAAACTATATTCAGAAATTTCGCAGGCAACTATTAACCTGAAGCAAAACACTCAAGTTATTGGTGAAATGAGCTAATTTTTTTTTTCGAGAATATTAGTTAAAAAGCATAAATCTCATACTTGTGCATTAAGATAATATGAATAATCATATCTCGTCAGGAATATTGGATTTATTTAAAAGCGATTTCGAAATACCTATTGGAGTACCCTTTACACTATTTTTGCCCAAATAAAGCAAACCTATAGTTTAAAGGTAACCAATATTTAGGTCTGAATGCCACAAAATAGATAGTTTTTTTGTTCGAATATATTGTTTTTTTGACAACTCCACCAAACTGTAACTGTTGACAACCGTGAACTGTATTGTTGCCAATATTGAGCCAGTGCCGATCTTCTGTATCCTGCCCTTTTAGTACTTTTAACCTCGTAAGATTGTATCTGTAGCAACATAGCTAATTCCATGCTGATTACAATTTAGAAGTATAACTAAGCATCAACCATATATTCCAATACCTACATATCGAAATAACGCCTATAATATACACGTAAGTGTTATCCGACATTTAATAGTTTAGGAGATATTTCCAATTTTGTGAATTTTTAGAAAACATTCGATTTTTAACGTAAGTTTGCAAGTTCAGCAAAACTAAACGGTTTACGGCTACGATTATTCTTTATTGAGTCATCTGCCTTCTGAAATAGGTTCATTTTGATTGCCTGACCTGATTGAGGTTGGTTATAGCTAAAATTTCTCATCACTGTGAACCACGAGGACCATTTAACTCCTTCAATAGGTACATTCATAGGAGTTTGGGCAAGCACATTAATGTTCAAATATGAATTGTAACTCTACCGCTTAACACGTTCGCTGCCGATGACTCCGATCGGAGCCAATCGGCGACCTTCACCATGTGCCGATGGCTCCGATCGGAGTCATCGGCAGTGATACGAATAATCCTGATTTGAATGCCGCCGGCTCCGATCGAGGACAGTTTTTTTTCTCTACCAATATACACCTTTTTTAAATTCGATACCAATATAAATAACTAAAAATGATTACATATACCAATATTAGTCTGATGGGCGAAAAAAGTATTTGGCTATTGGGAACAGTTAATCCAGTCTCAGTAGGCATCGAACGTGTTAAACTATTTTTATACTTTTATAACTGAAGAGCAACTTTCGATATGATGCTTTCATCATAGGCGGATATAATTTGCAGCATTGATTCATCATGGAATATAATACTTTATTCAATAGATTTTAGAGGAAACAGTATGGTAAATTTTTTATTGACAGCCCTTGAATGATGGGATAACAGAACTATCAAGCAAAAGTTGTCAAATTTTATTCAACCATTTATGCAGTTTCATATACATTCAGAAAGAATCGCAGAAACCTGACACTACTGCACAAGTTAAGTTTTAAAGCCCAATTTCTTTCAGTTTTGCAAAAGTGCGTTTATCTCTTGACCTATTGATTGTCGCATAAAAGGGATAGATACTGAGGTCCTCTATCACCTGGGTTTCATTGATCCATCCATAACTTCGCTAAAAAAAAATGTGGTGCCTAATTTATAACTGTTCTTTTTAGCCCTGTTTTGAACCGAGAGAAGACAAAAAGAAGCTCCTTAGCAGCATGGCAGGAGATGATCTCTACTGATATCTACCAAATCCTAATAGGGCTGTGACTGTAAAGTATTAGAATTGTTAAGTTTTAATATTTATACACAATTTTATCTCTCAAAGACTTATAAGCTGAGGAAGCACCCTACTTAAGTAGTTTTTCAAATAACCCATGTGTTCAACAGCCAACAATCTAGAAGGAGATGTTAGGCAAAAAAGGGCATCTATAGCATAGAGGAAGTGTCAACAAAAGAAGCTTGCAAGAAAACAAGAGAAATCACTGCTCAACTGCTTTCGAGGCAAAATAAATATTAGCGCTCCTCTATGCACTCATAAAGGAAATATAATAGTTGACTAATGTTCGGTTATTGATATTTTCCATCTGAAGGTTTCAGTTCAATATGATCAGCATTCTTTATATTAAATAATGCTGGGCAGAAATAAAGAAAAGGATTTAAATATACATAAAAATAATACTATTGTATTTGTCATAGAAGAATAGTCGAATAATTACAAGGAATAGAACATTGAAACCAATTCATCGACTGCAAATCAACATAAGATTCATACATTTGTGAATAATTATTAGTATTCATATGGTACAATTACTGAACATTCAACACATAGAAAACTTTTAAAAACCGTTGAATATCTCTGAAGACAGTAAACAACTAAGAAATATTCAAAACTCGAGTAAGCTTATTTCATATATATCATGTTTAATCATACTGGTGATCTCCAAACTTTTCTAATTACTTATGCTTAGAAATCTTATTTTAATACTAAAAAATCACTAAATGAAATGCTAAACATGATCAATGGAAAACAATAATCGAATTTTAGTCAATAATGTATTCAAATGTCGTCTTGAAAAGATAAGGCATATGGCTTGTATATACTTAAAAATAACGGGGAATTCCAATTTAAGTTGTTAACCATGCTTTGGCAAGAAACTAGCATGATTTATCAGAAATGAAATCTGATATTACTTCCTATGTTCTAAAAATTAGAAGAAAAGTGTCAATATTATATTAAAATGTTTATTTTGCATATACAGCGGGTATATTTCAGTTATTTTTTAAAAAGTTCTGTTTAAGAAAGATACGTTTTTTGTTTACTTGGTTTCAAAGCAGTGATTTTTTAGTGATAACTAAAATTAAAATTAACGTTTTACTTAGAAAGGTTGTGAATTGCATACAAAGATTTAAAATTACGGACAAACTATGAACATTGTTATATACCTAGATTGAGAGGTAAACTAGTCATCTATAGATTACAGGGTATAACATATTTTGTTTAGTTAATAGTATTGGGAAAATAGTTTTTATTTCAAATGCATTTTTATGGCCCAGTGATAAATGTGTCTTTTATTTTAAAGCAGACCATTTACCTCCACTTAAAGAGCAATAAATAACTGACCAGATTGTACATACAGAGAAATCCAATTATCACTGATGAGGTAGTCTACGAGAGTGAAGCGCGAGAAGCGTGCAATATGTCACTCTAGTTGCTAAGCTTTCTAACATAAGTATTGCACGCTTCTCTCTCGTACACATTACGACGTCATTGGTGCATGGATTTCTCTGCATACATGATTTAAATTTGTTACACCCTGTATGCGAGGCTATATGCCAAACATTTGGACAGAAGCATGTTATGTGGAAGTTGGCAAACGTACCATTTACTTTAAAAGTAATACCTGTGGGTTGTAATATCCACATCAGAAATGTGATATTATAATCTTAAGTAGAATAAATAAATTTTGTATCAAAAGTGTCAAATATACCAGTTTGTTAAAATTACTCTTTATTTATCCTATAACCCCAAATCGAAGGCATTTTTACGACTGACTGATTGCTAATGGACACGCACGTGATATGCAATTATTTAAATTAATGAAGTCTTGACTGGTGCCAAAAATTCGGAAAGCTGATCAGCAGAACGGCTGGCGTACACATAATCCGTTATCGGCCGAACTATACTAAGCCATTAACCGTCGATAAAATTAAACTTATGTAAAATGAAGAGAGTGCGTACACCTCTACAACCGGCCGTTGACGGTCGGCAACGGCCGATAAACAGGAACGTCCGAACTTGTTGGATTACTCGGCAGTGCGCCGGCAATTACAATAGATGAATTGTTTCAAGTATGGATATTGAAAAATTAATTGGTTGTGTTTATAATAGGCCGCCGCTGTGGCCAAAACTCAAAAGTTACAATAATGGAGATGTTGAAAAACGGTTATGGGCTGAAGTTGCATTGGAAATCGATATAGCGATTGCAAGAGTAAAAAATATGGAGCAACTTCAGAGACCAAAATACTGGAATGTATAACACATTCTAAAGTTTGTAATTTTAAATCTTCGAATAGGTGGTGAAATTCACCTACTTGTTTTCTGTGCACAAGTATTTCATTAACTCACACTTGACGACCCCGACGAATTAAATGGCTGTACGAATTTTTTAGAAGATACATCTCTTCGAAATCCTCCATTTTAAAAACACGTCTTTAATATGTTAATCTGTATTCAACAATGACGTCCGACGGGCAACGTCCGATGACGGCGGTAGTGTATGCAGATGAACGTCCGAGACAGTCGTCCGAATAGCTCCGGCCCGACATCGGCCGAAAAATCGGTTTTGGTGTACGCATACCGTAAGGCCGTTTACACACACACCGGCAAAACCGGGACCGGTAAAGTTGCCGACACCGAATGCAATGTAATGAAATTAATATTTTTACCCGTAGCCTGGTCCGGTCACGGAGTCCGGTTAATGCAAGCGGTGGTGATCTCGAAAGTCGGGCAACGCACCGGCTTCCGATTTCACTGTTTTATAATATTATACTTGCTCATACATGCTCAGGCGTGCCGATGCCGAGATTCTTTTTACGCATCTAAGTTTTTAGTGTATAATTAACACATTAACCTCGTAGGAAAAGAATAGGATCGGTTGGTGTTTAATATTTATTGTACCTTTTAACCTTGTTATTTATTCTCTAGTCAATAGTATACTCAAACTAAAGTAATTAAAGAATTTGGAGTTGTCTTCCCTAAGTTTTTCAAAAAGCGTGTAGAAGCTACCTTCTAAGTATCTCACAGTCAGCAGAGGATGCACCCAGTGCTGTCTTTGTTTTTTAGGTTATCGATACTTCCTCCTGAGATGCAATAGCCCAAGGAGATAACGTTTATTACGAGCAGAAACATACATCTTCTTTCACCACTGCCAAACACCGAATAAAATTGTCGGCATATGCAGTGGCGAAGCGTCCATGTAACCATTGTTACCGTTGGTAACAGTTAAAATTCTTAAAAATAAATATTTAATGACTAAGTACTGTGAAACAATTTCATTTATTTGTTTACAACAGCGATGTGTAATAGTAATTCAGTAAATTATAGCAAATTAGCCCCACGAAAATAATGCGCCCTATAGTGTCTAGGTTTGCGAACACGATGAAGCTGACTCGCCTCGACTTGGTTGTGGGTTGTTACCGTTTTCATTTATGGATACACTTGGTAGTCCGTCGGTACCGGCACGTGTCTGATCGCGGTCGCCCGAGTGCGTGGGGCGCTGCGACTATTATGTGGGCTTGTTACGATTTTTTGATTTGGTTACTCACTTCTCACTCGTTAGTAGCCGTTTTGGTTACCGGCTGTAGTGTGCGTGAAATTAAACATGGATGAGTGTCACCTGAGTAATTGATCAACTACTTGAAAAGTCATTCTCCTTGTATCATTTTTAAGAAAAAAATGAGATCATTGAGAATGGAAGACCAAAACCTATTTTAGATAATTTTAAAAAGGAATAAAAAAAGGTAGTTTGATATTTTAAATTAAGTTGGTATATGGAAACTCTTGGTTATGTGGTTGCCAAAAAACAGATTGTATTGTTCCTGTTTTATTTAGGGCTCTAAAGAGGAGACATGAAATTTCTCCTTTACATGTGAGATGTGTAGCCAATTTAATTCAGTTTGGCAAAACAAGAATCGAAACATGTCTTAACCAAGCTTATAGGCAGCACACTTCTGGATACCGTATGTTTTTTTGGCAAAACAGGAATTACCGTTCATTTTGAAGTGGATGAAATTACAGGGAATTGTTAACATTTATTGCCAAAAAAGATCAAGAATTTTCCGAACATCTAGAAACGTCGACTGTTTTTTCGGAGGGTTTGGATTAGTCATAGCATAAGACGATGAGGTATATCAAGTGCCCCAGACGCTCAATCCAGAAATGTTTACGTTAATTTAAAAATATTTTAAATAAAATACCTAAAATAAGCAAACACTTATATTTGGGAGGTTCAAAATAAACTGTTTTTAATAAGATTTTTCACATCTGGTTTTGGTAACAGTTTAGGAAAATTCACGCGTCGCCACTGGGCGTATGTGAAATTTAATGTTTTCCGGCACAGGAAATGGTACCGGCACCGGTATAGTCGGTGTGTGTGTAAACGGCCTAAGTCTTTCTGGAATATAAAACAGTCTATGGGCACTTAAAGTTGACACAAGCAAATCTTACAAAGAAATTGCAATTACTATATTATTTGATTTATATGCAATTCAGCTTAGTGATCTTTGACTAATCTGTCAATCTGAGTTACTTGACAAATCTGAATAAACATATACATACCTATGTTGATGAGACACAAATGAGTTATCTCCTAAAAACAAAGGCAGCTGATGACTAATTAATACTGAAAAACAAAATATAAAATTTATTTCTTACACAATTTGAACATAAATATTATTGAGCAGACAGTTAAAGAGAAGATTAATTTCCTCCATGGAAATCGTATTTTCCAACTGTAAGAATCTTTAGTAATAAGATCAGCTGGTCTTATAGTTCGATCCCACTAAAATAAAAAAAATATAAACACGTGAGAAGTACAATTTGCTATTATTTTTACCTACATATTCTCAATCTCTCACCTGTTCTGCTCTTTGCATCAGATTCTTGGTGCTTTTCTCACACAAAGCAATATTGTGTTTTACAGATTTCAATGTTCTAGCAAGGTCTTTATCATTTTGAAACCTTTGGCTTTCATCGAAGTTTTTCAAAATAAACTCTATACTTCCCTCCATTGCTATGACTTGCTTAACTGTTGACAGTACTTGGATTGCAACATCATGATTGCTGCAAAGTTCTATGTTCAATGTACATTGGAAACTATAGTTACAGTATTTACTCACCTATATTTTTCAGTTAGAGGCATTACATACAATGATTTTGGATGGTAAGGATATTTATGGAATTTGTATATTACTCCAAGTATTTTAGCTCTCTGATAGGGAAGCTTTACACCTAGATTCTGTAGATCTGCGTCAGTTATAGATAAAAACTCACTCAAGGTAATGTTTTTCTTAGCTAGTAACTCTATTAATGGCTCACTCATAATGCCATACAGCATGTTACAAATATCTACAAAGAACTGTGGCCTAGAAAAATTAAGAACTCTATGAAGAAGTAAGCAATTACAAAAGGGAATGTTTTAATAAATTACTTAGTGATTCAAATATATTTTGCATGACATTCAGCATACAAAAAATTTAATGTGTAATATAGCCCTTCCCAGGGAACATTAAATTCAATTATGCTGAATACATACTAGTAATAATATAAAATCTAATTGCTATAAAACAAAAATATGACATATTGTTACCTTTTTCCTGTTTTCCACAAAGAAAAGCTTTCCTCAAACGCCAATGCTCGATCTTGTATGGTAGAAAATATAACATCTTCCTTTTCTTTAGGAAATAACTCCAAAATTTGGATTAAATTACTATTTTTCGCTATGTCTATAGCGGTATTATTTCTTACATCTGGTTTACTGTAATCTAAATTTTGTTCTAACAGGTAACTTACAGTTTCTATTTGGTTGGTGCTGACTGCCCAATAGAGCGCCTATAATAAGAATTTAGTTTAGTGTAAAAGTGAACAGAAATATAAATAAATCGACCGCAACCTAACCGTCACTTGAAAATTATTATGATTTATGAAAATATCAGGACTTACATTCCATCCTTGATTATCTACAGCATCTTTATTGGAAAGAGGAAGTAAGTATTTGACAGCTACTAGATGTCCATTGCTTGCTGCTAACATCAGAGCTGTCATTCTTTTATGGTTGATTGATTTCACATTAGCACCTTTTTCTACCAATAGTTTTATTATTTTCATTGTGTCAGAATATGGAGATGTTTGGCTTGGACAGTTGCAAGCCATCATGAGAGCTGTATACCCATCTAAAAATTAAATTCGGTTGGTTTTTTAATCCCTAATTATAAGTAATCAATCTTTATATTACCTCTATCAGAGTTCACGTTGGCACCACTCGCAACTAGGAGTTCAGTAATCTCATACTTTCCAAAAGATACAGCTAACTGAATTGATGTCCAGTTATCATATACAGGAGAGTTTATATCATACCCTATAATAATTGATTGATGTCACATATATTCAACAACAAGAATAATATCCTCAACAATGCTAATGAAACTCATAGAGTCAATATACAGTATTTGGGGTTTTCAAATTCTGACAAAAAAAACATAAGCAAATTGAGCAGCAAACCATCAAGATTCAGGCACAATACACTCGAAAATTAACAAAAGGCACTGGAATGATCAATTCCCAACATTCACTACAAATATCATCGAATCTCTGTAAGTGTAACTGGTATATGTGCATACTCCTTGTATACCAGATACACACTATAGCATATTTTCATGGAAGGAGCAACTAAAAAATTGTAAAAATACATAAAAACACGTTTTTGGTGTTACTGGAAAATTGTTTCAGGCTCACCTGGCACATTTCAAATTACATATTTTCGTGAAACGTATCTTACTTTGATATTATGTGCATTTTTGTCACTACTCTGGCATCACTTCTCTGGTAGTTTTAATGTCAAATTTTATTTTTTCATACTTGCTTCGTTTTGTTATTTCTTTACAATACGAAATATTAGCAAAAATGAAAGCTGTGCACTCTCAATCTACACAATTCTTGCTTCAATACCAATGGAACTGAAAGACTTGTAATAGTGTATCATGTTTAAAGTATCTCCCCCTGGTCCCTATAAAAACTGTCAAAATCAAAATATTATGACCTTTTCAAATGAGTATCTCACTATACAATTGTGACGTAATGAATATGACAACAAAACAAACTATTTCTCTTAGTTGACACTGAAAACCCAAATACCATATATTCATGCATTTAACATATATTAAACTGTATCTACCAGTGATCCCACCGAATTAAGCAAGACTGACAACGATAATAGATTAAACTTTAAAAAGTTTTTAGACAACATACAGTAGCAAGGCTATTTGCATAAAGGAGGCCCTAGGCTTTACTGGCACATCTGATAGATAAGGAATCAATGATTCCTGATAAAATTCAAAACATCTGTCTTACATAATGGTAGGCATTCTGCTTACAATTTATAGGTAGAATTTCGTTACAGTTACATTAATATCTGATTCTGATATTTTCTGTGAGTCCCCTGGAAATGCGATGAGGCACTTCGCCTGTAGGAGAGCAATGCATAGTATGTCATCTGAGATCTGCTTACCACTATGTAGAACTTGCTGTACTGCTGCAATATCTCCATTGCAGATAGATTTGTATAGCTGTTGGCATTCTTGCTCTTTACGATCAGCCTCGGATAACACTTGGGTAGATTTGTTTTGATTTGCTATTTGTCTGGTACGTGTCTAAAATCATTTGAGCTCTAAGTGAATTTTTATCGCTCAATAACTGATACCAAATTCTTTCATACCTTGAAATATTCATAGTCTGGATCATCTGAGAAACAATCTGAATCACTATCTGAATCTGGCCTATAAGCCATGCTTCACGAAGAATTATTATTTTTATGGAATGTTTTAATAACGAATTGTTCGCTTTTTGCTGTTTGAGCCACTATTTCGCTAAAGTTTACAACAATTAAAAATACACTCTTGTTCTTTTCAAAACAAAACTTTTTAGGTTATGAGTGTTATGCAGTGTTGCCAGAGCGAAGTTTAAAATAGGGGGGGGAGGCTTAAAATAAACAATAAATATATTTTTTACATATTTACTTTTTTTTAAACACTGTCTAAAAACACTACTAAAAATACAAACAGTAACATAATATAATTGCAATTTTTCGTAAAAACATAAAAAGTATACCTCTAAAAAAACAAAACTGTCTTTGGTTTAGAATTAGGAACTAATAAAAAAATAGAAACTATCACCAATATATTAATCTTAATAGAAAAAAAAAAACAAAAAATAAGGAAAAAGAAGAAGCAGAAACGTGGAAATGCCTACGTTTGCTTATTTTATTCAGTCAGAATCAGAAATTACTTCTTCTTCAGCTTGTTCTTCCTTATTTACATTATATAAATTCTTTTTATATTTGTTTAAATGATTCTAATTAAAACTATAGGATAAACAGCACTGTTTTTTTGATTCCAAGTCTAATTTAATTGTAAGTAGTGCAGACAAAGTTGATGGTATTATTTTATTTCTTTTTTTTGTTTTGTAATCAAGCATATAAGAAAAAGTTCGCTCAACATCAGCGTTTCCATGAGCCAATGTTAAAATGATTAGAGCAGTTTACCTATATTGCGAAATAAATATTCGTCATTAAAATTTTTGAGGTCGTTTTTGTTTTTACAATTTCCTCTTTCTCACTATCACTAAAAAATATACATATTTTCTTTAGTTCAAAAATTGCCTTTTCGGTTTCAATATGAAGGACAAATTTTTTTAAAACGGTGTCATGAAAGGCATCACTTATAATAAGACGATTGTTCATCACATCAACCGGTGAGAGAAACTTTAGCTCTGAAAAGAAGTTGTCTCTGGTAGGAAATCTTTTAAGGGACTCTTCTACCGATTTTTGGTAAAATGTGACACATTTTAATTTAAATTGTTCGATTGCCGTGTTATTGCAGTGCTTTATTGCATCCATTGTATGCGGACCAACATTCACTTGTTCAATTGGTAATAAGCAGTGGGGATCATTAGGATTTAGATTACTTATATAATTTCTCATTTTAAAATATTCTGGTCGCATAAAGTTTGTACATAGATGACGTACAAATTCTATTGATATGATATTGAGCATAACCTTCTCTGATTGAAAGAGAGCATTAAATTGGTTAAAAATGGGCAACACGAATTTAAAAAACATTAAATACGCCTTAACAAATGGATTCTGTAACTCATTAAGTATTACATTTGCTACAGGATTTTTGTCTTCAATGAAAGCTAATCTAAATAGGCTAAGCAAAAGGTCCCACTGATCCAAAACTCTATCAACACATTTGGATAAAACAAGCCACCTTGTTTTACTAGGGCTTAAAATTTTTAATTTCGCCTTTTTGAAATATTCCTGTAATTCTTCAAAAACACACTGCCTTTTTGGGCTGCTTGTGAAGTAAGAATATAAGTTTTGTAAAAGAGCTTCAACGTTGCTTGGAATCTTTTCAGCTGCCGCCACCGCCACTAAATGAGCAGAGTGGCAAATACAGCCATTGACAATTATATTAGGATTATCTTTTAAAAGATAAGTTTTGAAAGATTCGTTATTGCCCATCATAACACTAGCGTTGTCGGAACAGTATCCAACAATATTGGTAATTTTTACTTGATTGGATATAACGCATATTTTAAAAAGAGAAAGAAACCTTTGGCGGTACCTTCATCTGCGTTTATTTTTAATTATATCTAATAAATGGGCTTTTTATTGAATTTTTATGAATATACCTTACAAGAATGCATAGTAGTCTTGTATTGCTCAGGTCTGTACTCTCATCCAATAAAATAGAAAATGGTTTATTTTCCAATTCTGAAATTATTTCGTCTTTAATAACAGGAGCCAGCACATTTTTAATTATACTTATGCATTTGGATCTTTTTAATTTAAGTGAGCTAGAGAGATCTGGGTCTTTAAAACATAATTGACTAACTCCTGTTATATGATCACCAGTTCTAAAACTTATATAATGACTTACAACTAAAAGACTATATTTTAAGCAAGCAAATATTTGCCGTTTTTCCAACTCACGTGCTTCCGAGACTGAATAGTGCTAAGTAACGTTCTTACATTCGAAATTGCTTGTACATTAGTGGCATGCGTTTTTGATTTCGAATGATACACTAAATCTGATTTTTTAGCACCCATTATTTGATTACAAGCTTTACATTTTGCTTTCAACTTGTCATTTTCAATAGGTCCCAACCAGCCTTTAAATAACGGATCTTCTAGCCATGATGAAGTAAACATTTGTTTTCGTGTCTTTTTCTTAACAGGTTGCTCTGGATCTTGGTTATCCTAAGATTCGCAAGTCGAATTATCAGGCTCAGATCTGATTCCACTAGATTCCGCTCTTCTATTTTGTCTGTATTCAGGTTCGGGATGCTCCGAGTCCGACACAGATGCAGTCGAAGTGGATGGTACGGCCACGTTTGGTTTCACCGTTTGTTTTTTAGAAGGATTTTTATTAAAAAAATCGTTAATGGTCTGCTGTCGCCTTTCCATTATTCCTATTTTCCAGAAGAAAAAGCGTTAAAAACAAATTTCGCGAATAAGATTTATTTCTGGATCAAACTATAATATGTTAGATATTTAAGCAGTTTTGTTACTTACCAGAAGATTTAATATTAAAATCTGCAGCAAATGATATATCAATAAAATGATCAACACAAAAATAAGAACACTAATATAAACGAAACTAAACAGTATATACCCAGAACTGAAAAATACAATACAAAGCGAGAAACCTAATATTATGTCTGCCTGCTGAGACCTGTTAGAAACGATTAAAGTATATTCAGATAAGAGATAGACCGGACATAAACAAGACCACGTGATCATCGAACGCTGTAACATTCGGCAGGGACGTATTAAGAGTCACGCAGTACATATTTTAGATAGTAGATGCTGCTTTGCGTAACTTTGTAGTAAATTAGCACAATTCGATGTGTATACGATTGGTGATGGATATAGGATCATGTGGGGGTGGGGTAAGAAATATATAATGGTGTAAATATACATAAGGGTTTCAAAATTTTCGCTTCGATTTCCAGCTTCGGATGCCGCCTGATGTTTGGTGAAATACAGTCGAATATAATCTCAAAATGGCGTTTAAATTAGCCTAAATTAAAAATAATCGTATATCTCTTAAAATTGCTTTTAGAATATTGATTAGTATATTTTTTGATTTCTAGGTAAATATGTAACCAAATTAAAACGTTCAAAACGTAAAAAAATGTGCATGGTTGAACATTGTCAGAAAGTAGATTCTTGAATAGGATTTGCCAAAATGGGTTCAAAAATGTCAATAATTAATTAAAAAATACAGTAGCTTTATAATTACTTATAACTTACCGAATTTGATGAACGACATCTTTTATTGGAAAGATGAGCTTGATGAGCTTTCATCATCGCTGCCTGAAGCACCAACGTCAATAATGAATGGCTCGACTTGTTCCTGTAAAATATTGTCCAGTTCCCACATTCTCTTTTCAACTTTGCCTTTCACGTGCTTAATACAGTTTTCCCATTTTTGCGCTGTTATTAATTCTAGTGCTTCTTTGAAAAGTCCTTTGAGGTCACAAAATTTAAAAGTTGTATTGTGCTTAGCTATATAATTTTTAACCTCTGCCCATATGAGCTCAATGGGATTGATCTCGCAATGGTATGGAGGTGAACGGAGCACAGTTTTATTTTGACTTGCTGCCATTTCGTCAATGGCGTATTTTTGACATTCCGCCTTGTGATCCTTGACAATTCTTAATAATTGTACTTTCAGCATTGCTTCTTCAAAGTTGATATTTTTCGAGCGGAGCCAATTTTGAACATCAACTTTCCTTGAAGCCGTTGTTGGGACCTTCTCCATTATTCGAGAATGATAAGGCGCATTATCCAACACAATTACTGCGTTTTCCTCTAAGTTCGGTAAAATTTTTGAAAACCACTGTTCAAACGATTCGCCATTCATTTCCTCGTGGTAATCTACAGTTTTCTTAGACTCAAAGCACCACAGACCGTCAACAACAAATCCATCCTCACTGCCAATATGGCAGATAATGAGCCTTTTCCCTTTACCTGGAAATCGAAGTACTAACTGGTGTAGATTTATTTCAATAAGCGAACCTTTTTCAAATGTTTTCATCACATTCAGCGGAAAAACATTGAGACATGAGTATCAGATTGCTATAATTGGGATTATTTAGTCATATTGAAAGAAAGAATATTGAACGTCGTATGATTACTCAGCGCTTCACAATTTAATTTAAAGTTATAAACCCTTAAAAAATGAATGATCAGGAACCTGAAATACGCGCAAATATTAATATTAACAAATTATAACTTTATAAAGCTTAAAGTATGAATTAAAATGATTAGAAATATTAGGAACGGTACACAATATAAATCTTAGTAACTTTTTTTAAGTTTATAATATTCGACATATTTTAAGATTATATTAAAAATTATTGAAATATCGAAAACACATAAAAACATGGCTTAAAAAAGTTCTAACAAATGAAAATGACAATAAAACATCCACGCATTTTATCGAAAGTTATAAAAGTTTTGTTACTTGTAATATGTTTTATCTGCCCCCTGGAATTAATGTTTAGAACCTTGTTCCCAAGGTTTGAAAAACATCCGATTGTTGTCTATTACTCGTATTTACCTGCTGGATTTTTTAATCCGGTGGACAGTCCATCTAGAAAGGCCCTCCTGGATGAAGTTACAGAATCATCAACCCATACTTTACTTGTAGTGTGTCCTGCGTTTACCCACGTTTCATCAAGGTAATAAATCTTCCTGTTTTGATTTCTATATTTCCCAATTTTTGTTAAATAATCCCTCCTCCATAGCACAATTTCTTCTCTATCCAGTAGTAAACTATTACGACCCCGTTTTTTCCATTTGAAATTTAAATGCTTCAGTAACGCATGGAAAGTTGATCGTTTGAAATTTGGCAACGTTGTATCTCCATTTACCTCCTGCAGTACTTTATCTATAGTAGGT